ATGCATGAGGTATTAAGTTTGCAGCGTTTATAAAGTTCAACGATCAAGTTTGAAGTAGAAGCAGACGTTGAGCTTTATCGCATTTTCTTGTCTACAAACATTCAATTGAAGTTTGATAATGATTGCGCAGAAATATAGTAAGTAAAATATAATTTTAACAGAGAGACTGTGCCAAATGTTTCAAGCGTATACAAGATGAGAAGCGCGCCATTTTTATTGAATGCTGCTTCAAGATGAACGATCTTATAAGAAGAACACTAACTTTTCTTCCACATTAACGTTATATTTTGAAGTGCTTTAACACAACTGTTCACATTTCCCTTCAGACAATTTTCATTTTGAATAATCGGAGTCAAATTGAAGCTGGTGCACTTTGATAAAGTTCATAGGCGTTCGAACAAGAGATTGCAATTACAAGTTGGCCGCGTTTCCGTCGCGTCATATGTAACAACTTCACAGCGAGTGTCTGCGTGAAGGTGGCGCTTCTGTTCTATGCTTCACTTCTGCACAACTTTACGGCTACACTTCTAGGTTCTCTTCTTATAAATGGTTCTCTTATTGTACATGGTTCTATTATCATAAATGGTTCTCTCATTATAGATGGTTCTATTATCATAAATAGTTCTTTTATTATAGAGGGTTCTATTATCATAAATGGTTCTATTATCATAAATGGTTCTCTTATTATAAATGATTCTCATTGTAGATGGTTCTATTATCATAAATGGTTCTCTTATTATCGATGGTTCTATTATCATAAATGGTTCTCTTATTATAAATGGTTCTCTTTTTGTAGATGGTTCTATAATCATAAATGGTTCTCTTATTATAGATGGTTCTATTATCATAAATGGTTCTCTTATTATAGATGGTTCTATTATCATCAATGGTTCTCTTATTATAGATGGTTCTCTTTTAGCCTCTCTTCATATAAATGGTTCTTTTATTATAGATGGTTCGTTTTTAGCTTCTCCTCATATATATGGCTCTCTTCATAGAAATGGTTCTTTTATAATAGATAGTTCTCATTTGGGTTCTCTTATAGGTTCTCTTCCAGGTTTTCTCGCGACCTATCAACTTCAATATGTTACTTTTTATCTAAATCTCACTCCGACCTTTTGTCTTTGTGTGTGTCATTCTGTCCCAATTCGGGATGACTAAAGGCCGTACCTTAATTGGCTAAGTTCAGAAAGTGCGTAACTATTCGGATAATATGGCCCTTTCATTTGCCTGAGTGCGCTGTAGGTGGCAGATTAGGCCTCTACTTCTGAAGGAAGATCGTGATTCAAAGCTATTTTATAAGCTGTTACCCTGATCACCTCTGGCATATTCTTTGCCCGACTACAGTCCTTTTCAGAAGTTCTCAGCGCCATCATCAACCCTGCTACTCCTTAGAACTCGACCACAAGTTCTGAATAGAATCAAGTAATTCAGTCGCTTGACTGATTTTTTTCGCAAAGTGCAAAGAGAAGATAATTTGCATATGAAATGATATTTATGACAGAACATTAATTTCGCATTTGAAATCATTGGCACACGTTTTGATTGACTTGATGTCGTTATTTTTTAGTTATTTTTACATTTTCAAATTTATTAATAGTTTTAGCGTGTCGTTTTCAGTTTAATATAAACTAATAATAGAGACAATATATCTATTGATAATAAAACTTATCTATAATATGGAACTTGACGGCGAGAGATAACTAACGCTCTAAGTCGTCTCTAATACGAGTGTTTTAACCTGTCGTGCTCCAATGATGAGTATACCTATGTTTTCCTCCACATGAATGATATTGACATACATACCTACATTATCAAAGCCTTTCGTGTTTTCCTTCCAGCTTTCTTGATATTTGTTGTTAACATCCTTAATAATAACAAGAAACTGGTAGTAATTTTAATATTTTTCCGGTCGATTATACATCCATCCCCCGATACATTGGGACGTACTGAACTTGATCATGGCATGAAGAACACGTTCGTATGAATCCTCATTTTCAAGCCATCAAACGTGAATGCATTGAAAGAGTGAACTTTTTAGTCTGAAACAATATCTAAACTGCTCGTGTATCAATATTTTATTATTCCACTGTATTTCAGTCGAGTGATTTTTTAATCTCAAACAATATCTAAACTGCAGGTATATCAATATTTTATTATTCCGCTGTATTTCAGTCAACTTAGGGCATTTATCTTCATCTATATGCCACGTAGGATGCTGCATTCAAGTGATGCCTGGCTGTGCTGAGAGTGTCCGGTGCAAATAAATTCAGTAAAGCTCCGCCTTAATGGCGATGTTAGCTGACAGACCTGTACTTTATGATGGAGTTAATTACAGTAGACTCGTTCCTAATGTGCTACAAGGCCGACGCTCTAACTCTGGCTTGCAGACAGTACAATATGCGTGCATTCTAACGCATGGCGAGCTCGGTAGCTTCTCCATATGTTCGGCACTCAAGGATACGAATGGGTGGTAATGTCCAAATAGTGACCTATTATCCACAATTATGTAGTTATGATACACCATTATGTATGGCGAGACGAGGGATGTTCATAGATACAGAGAGACCTGATCAAATGCTGCTCAGATGGAAAGTTTTTCTAATGTGCAACAAATATACAAATTTAAACTGGAATGTATCTAAGCCCTTGATCGCAAAATATATTATTTAAAAATAAATTTTTTAGGCTATGAAAAGGTATTTATTTTGCTCCGGGATTCGCAAATTCGTTTGTTATGATAGATGAAATAAAAAAAACGAGACACGGAGGTTTTCAATTACTGGAAATTTTTAAGGTTAGGAACTTTAAGACTTTCTGCATATCAGACACTGGATTCACAATACTAATGGATTTGCCTGCGATAATTTGGGATTAAAAGACCGAGTGATCTCGATTCACGATTCACACAACGCACTACTAGAAGTAGTAACAGCTATAATAATAATTTAAAATTTGGCTATTATCCCTAGAATTTACAAAATGACCGTTTCACATACTGCGTTAAAAAAATATTAGGTGTAACAATATCCCCTTATGACAAATATATCTCTATATAATATCTCCTTATTATATCTTCAAATAAAGACATATATTAAGTTTTTTTCCACTTCTCACAACGACTAATGTAACATCATAATAATGTAATTTCGTTCTAAATACAACTCATTACCTTTAGCATGACGTCAGCACACACTCCACTTTCAAGGGCACTACATTTCTTTGCCATGAACCCAGACGACATGAAAAGCAGTAAACGACTAGCGGCTTAAACTGAATCGGTCACCGGATATGAGCGGCTGGAACATGGCATCTACCATACAGAAATTCTATTTCCATATCATACCAAACCAACTGTCGAAATGATATAAAAATTAACGCAAAGAAATTTATTCTTTCAATTTTATTTTTTATTTTAAAGAATTTTATTCTTCTTTATTTACACCATGAATTTTATTGTTTTTTGTCAACCTCGATAAGTTCAGAACCGAAAAAGCCGGTAACAAAGCTGCATTATCGCCGTGTTAGCGGCGGAAAAAGACGCGTGTGTCACCGAGATTGCGATCGCCTCTCGTTACAGTTCTTTTTTTGAAGGCCACGACGCAGAACTTATGAGGCGTTTACTGGAACTTTCTTCGTCGTTTATGGAATCATTTGGCGCCAGCGTCCAATAAAAGAGATTGACTGACCGGTTCAAAATAGACGACGGTGCTCAGAGATCAGAATATATCAAGGTTTTTCAATCAAACTTGCCGCGGGCACGCCATGCTGTTGCCAGCTTCTAGACGTTGGCGTACACTGGCACTGAGATACAAACATACGGCCACTAATATTTGACTGTTGTAAGAAATTAAAATTATTATTCAGTTGAATAATAACAATAAATATATTATTATTTTTATTATTATATTATTATTATTATCATTACATATTATTTTTATTCCTATTATTATTATCATTAACAATGATAATATTTTTTCAAGTTGAAGTATTTTTGTAAACATTTTTGAGTACCCCTTCCCCTTTAAAATAATTTTCAATGATGGAAGAGTAACAAGATACTTGTTAAGTTTTACATAACAATTTTCTTCATTTTTCTCATCAGCCAGGAATTTTTTCCTTTATTGCGCTTGCCTTACCTTGAATGTTATTCGAGTTGAACCAAGACAAGCATTCGGGCGACGAAATTTTTAGTTGTGCAGTCGTTTCTTAAGTATTTGCATGGATCCCTCAGGAAGAAATGTATTTGCTGTTTAAAATTTATAGTTCAATAATTCAAACAACCAGGATTGAACCTTTTTCCCGAATTATAACCACGTGCCCATGTTTAATATATAATTTTTATTGGTGTCGGTAGTTAAGCATCCACGTCATCACTTCAGAGTGACATACATACAATTAATTACGATAATTGAAACTGTTGAATTACGATAATTGAAACTGAATTAGCTACCGCTACTCACGTCATTGTTACTCTATTCAATCGAAATTTATGAATTTGTGGTAATTAATAATGTGAGGCTTAGCATAGGTATATGTTCTTCATTCCTTTGCATTTTTTTACGATTTCATTCGTTTTGCCAGAGACCTGTAGTGCGTGATTGATGCCATGTGAGACTTATACTTTTTTTAAATATTTGTAATCGTTTCAGTGTTTCACGGTTTTGATTATTCTTTCATTATTTTTAAATTTCATTATGTGAATTAGATTATTCTTCAAAATGGGGTCATATATTTGTTGTCATTATTAAACTAATTTCTTTATAAAACAATTAAATATATTATAAAATGGTGAATAGTGAAAATATTCTCTTTAAAGCACCATGCATTATTATTATTATTATCATTATTGACACAATATTATTCATAATTAAATTCATCGTGAATGATTCCGTTCCGTGCCCAAATACCCTCGCCGTCCGCCGCGAGGTGAAAATTTTGGTGCCCGCCTGAGCCGCTCCGGCGGACCGAGCTTCAGTGTCGCTCCGACAGTTGCTGTGGATGGTCGTGTGCCGCTGTCATCCCTAGCTCACCTGTTTCCCTCTTGTCATACCTCCAGACCTTAGAACTTATTTGGGAAGCACAATAAACAAAAGGACTAAATAAACTTATGTGTTGGTGCAATGCATTGTAAAGCACTCGAGTGCGTTAATTTTGAGAAATTCTCCGTTGAAGTTTTCTAAAAAACTACTGCCTCATCTGCTAAAGGTATGTTCGGCTTTCTGCGTGCGTGTGCTATAATATAATTAGCTGGCATAACATTTTCATTCGTTACAGATCGACCTAATTCATTTTAATTATTCTGTCGATACACTTTTGCTCGCGGAATTTATGTGTATTTGTTGAGCCTTTTTTTAAAATTTATTGATGATTTGCAAATACAGTTATTCCAGAAACTGTTCTGCTCCAAAGATGTTCCTAAAAATTTCAGTGAAGCTCTTATTTATTAATTTGACAAATTTGTTACAGTGTCGCTTTAAATACCGAACGGAGAATTTAGGTCTCGTAGCAAATAGAAGCTTGCCATTGATTGAAATTGCCTGGGTTATCATGATATTATTTCATGTTTGATATTTAACTTTTTTGTCTGAAAAAATATCCATACGAAACCTCAATAGATTTAGACAGCTTAGTTAAGTATTCTTATCCGATTAAGAATAAGTCATAATTAATGGTAATTAATAATTTTTATATATTCACCCGTTTGACTTCTAACATCGGGTACCAAAGCAACTCGAGTTCCGGTTTTACCGGCATGCCGATCTGTCAACGGTCTTTGGAATGTGACTTAACTCGGGAAATATTCTCCCCAACACGTGGGACTATATCATCCTGCTGCACATTAACCCTATTTCTGAAAATATTCAAATGAGTAACACGCTTAGGTTGTATTTCATTTCTTACATCTGTATCTCTGAAATGACAAGACTGAAATGTTATTTTGCCTGTGACCTTAAGACTCATTCTATAGACGAGTTACAAGCTTGTATCTCCAGAAGCATTAGTAGCTTAATGCTTCAGTATCCGACCAATAAAAAATTCTAATTTCCCGCGGGAATTCTTTTGTCTCGCAATTTTCGTTTGTTTTTTCTCTCTATTTTTAAACGGTCCAATGCGAGCTTGAGAAGCACTTGAATATTTTGCATGCACATTTTGCTATAATTTCCTTAATATGACTGTTGAAACCTACCAGAGTCCGACTCTTATTTTACTTATTTTTACTGAACTACGTAGCCAGTATAATACAAGTACTGTGATAATGCAATTTGTTATAGTACTCGTCTTATATTACCATATTAATAAATATTACTATGCGATTACCATAATAACAAAATATTATTATAGTCTCGTATTATAGGCAATGAAAATAAAGAATAGAAATTTATATTAAAAAATATAAATATTGAAGTCCTTTTGTAGCAGAACATTGATCTGCACAGCAGAGCTAATGCATTATTATCGGACGGTAGGACAAACATGAAACTTTTTGCTGTGGCTCGAAGGTAACGACGTCTCTGAATGGCCAACATGCTTAAGCTTCTCAATTTACGTGTAGCTGTAGGAATGAGGCTCGAGTAAATAATCATGATGGGTTTTTTATTTAGTTGCTTTTCAGTGAATGCATTCCTACTCCATAATTTGTATTGTTCTGAAAAATCAACACGACGCGACCTGTCATCGTTGTGATGTCTGAATGAGTCGTCATACAGTATATGATTAATCATGATCAATAAAACAGCTTCATCTACGTAGCTTTTAAGAATAGTTGTCAAAAGTAGTTTGCAGGGCAGTCCCTAGGAGTGAGTTCTCTCATGCTCCCTGATTTCCCATGTGCGTAATCTGTAACTTTTCGATGAGCTGAGCCAATATTAGTTCAGAATGTTGGCTCCGCGAGGCGGGATATTGAAACCTTGTCTGATATCGACACTTTTTGGCCGCCCGATTGAAAGTACGGCCTTGAACAAATTTTTCTAGAATATTTAGAAATAAAATATTTCCTGCTTAGAAGCACATGCTGGTATAATCGAAAAAGTATGTAATGTAGTACGAGTATGTATTTTCATTGATTTTGTTATTATAGCAAAATATAAAAACTTTTATTTGGATATCAATCGAAATGAATTTTTCATTGTAATAAATAAATTATTTCTAAAAAACGCTTTAAAAATCATATCTTAGCGTAAATCTGAATTTGATTTGTTTCATGTTGAAAGTAAATTAAATCTCACCTGTACTTACCGTAGAGTTTTTCAAGTGTGTGAGTGAAGGTTGGAAGTTGAAATTACTAAATTCATCATGAATTTCATTGTTTATCAGTTTCAATTTTTGTATTCGTTATTAATCACTTCTTGTTCCTCGATGCAAGGATTAGGGAGCCACACTCCACCAAAAAAAAATTTTAAGCATGTCGTGACAACCCTGCCTCCATGAAATGTACATGGCTCGATACCGCTACGTCTCTGCACGGTCATAACACGTTACGTACATCACGAAAAGCTTTTGGTACTTCACCGCAGTTTGCCATCAAGTAAACATGGTGTCACGCACCCTGGCCACAATCCGGCATAGGCCCCGGGACGTGTGATGACCCAATACTGATTAGCCGCGTGGTAATCGATCGTGGCTCTACATACAACCTGCGTACCGCAGCCCTTGAACAAACAAACAAGACTTGACAGTGACTATGTTTACATTTTACATTACAGCACGGTGCAGTGACATTGTTTACATTTCAGCACGGTGCAGTGACTATGTCTACATTGCGGCACGGTGCAGTGACATTGTTTACATTGCAGCATGATGCAGTGACATTGTTTACATTGCAGCACGGTGCAGTGACATTGCTTACATTGCAGCACGGTGCAGTGACTATGTCTACATTGCAGTACGGTGCAGTGACATTGCTTACATTGCAGCACGGTGCAGTGACTATGTCTACATTGCAGTACGGTGCAGTGACATTGCTTACATTGCAGCACTATGCAGTTCCTATGTAACAGATCAGTACGTTGTCGCGAAAATGTCAACAGGTCACAATATATTGTGTGTTGCTCACATCAAGTCATGTTCACAATATTGTGTGGTGCTCACATCAAGCCGTGTTCACAATATTGTGAACATGGTTCGTGAAAATTTAATTTTATTTCATTCGTACATTGCGCATTTTACATTCCTATATTGTACATTTTTTGATTCGTACATTTCATTTTGTTTCATTCGTACAGGCCTACCATGTACACTGTATACACAATCATCAATCAAGAACCAATCATTTCACTTTTGAATAAACGTCCAGACCAGGCGGCTTTGAAAACCATTACACCAATCATTTATTAATCTTCGAAATGAATCAACAAATTTTTCTGTCAGGTCAAACCGCTTAGGTTTCAACGAAATATTATAGTATTCCGGATAGTTTTCAAAGCAATATTGATATCCGGGAAGGTATTTTTTTTCATTACCATGATTCAAATGAGCTTTCAGTGCCTCGCTCCTGATAAAATTTTCAGCCGCCGTGCGGTGAGGTTGCCAACAAACAATTTATATTAAGTGGTGCCTGGGGGGAGCGCATCAGCGGCGTCGTTCCCCTGATCATGTTGCGGTTTGAAGTTAATAAATACAAAACAAATTTATAAAAAATATAAGTGCTGAAAGAACATTTTTATTCATTTTTAGTTCAAAAGTGTGGTAGGAAAAATTTTTTCACTGTCATCAGTCACCACAAAAAAATGAAAATATGCATGTGAAAAATGCACGTGCAAGCAAGGAACTCAGAATATTTGTTGAAGACACAAATTCTTTCTTTTCGTGGTTCGGTTTAAGCTTTAGAAAACAGGACATATTTTTAGGTTACAAACAGTCAAATTCCTGTTCTTATATGTAAGAATAAAATTTGACATGATATATCATATAGAAGGAAATGAACTTCAACATAACTACGTAATTATCTTTTCGTTTAAACAAGTCCCTCTCAACAGCTCCATGTCTTGGAGTAATTCTTAGCTAGTATCGCATCAGTTTTAATTTGCTAATTTCCACCGCAAGTTTATTTCAGCATTTTCCATAATTTCAAACCTCGCCACGTCTTGGGAGGTAAATTGGTAGGCCACAATGTCGAAGCATATCACAAATCTTTATCATGTTGTAAGATAATAATTTTTAATGGTTAATATTAGGATGCAACGTTCATGTCAAAATTCAAACATCTCTAAAAAATTTGTTTATGAGCATTGACGGTAACTCTTGAATTAGTTTTCAAATTCCACTGCATTTTATCACTATCGGAATACAACATCCCCAAGCACTAACATCTCTTAGTTTCGGTAGCTCTACATTATTCGCCTCATGTACCTCCGTCCCAAGCAGCTCATTCTTTTCCAAACTAAATCCCTGACAAATACCACTAGCGAGACAGAGCTCGTCGGTAACGTTAGCCAGGCGGCTCCAGTCAGGCTGCTTGAGCAGCTTCTTATCTTGCTTATCAAGCACGGCGCTTGCCAGGCCTACCGCACTATATGTCTCCTCAGCCTCCAAAAATACGGCGCGGCTCAACGCTACAGCTGCAGCCGAGTGAGCTTAACCCTTTATCGGTCACGGGTGCTAGAAAAGCCGCCCTAGGGGGCGGATTTACAAATTTTCAATGCATTCTTTAGATCACGTTGCTCAATTTTATGTGAACTGAAAGTGTGAGAAATATAATTTGTATTTTGATTATAAAAATTGAGCAGTTAAATCAATTTACTTCCTGCGATTGATGCATTTGATGCTTTACAAAGTTTCGTAATAAATTTAAATTTAATCACTTCTGCAGGGTTTTTATTCAATACCAACGTGTATAAAAGCCATTAAAAATATAATTTTTTCTAACATTTCGGATGCAATTATTTTATTGTAATTGGTAAATACAGATCAATTTTTTCAGTAGTAATCAGATTAGATTTTACAGATAAATAATCAAAATTACTCGCGTGCCACATCATGTATCTGGCCAGCGCTTATCATTAAAGCCTCGAAGTTCGCTGCACTTCCAAGATGGAGTCTCGCTGCTCCTCAAGTTTTGGGATTAGTTCCAGCGATTAGTAATCCATCTCGAGGATTAACGGTGGCACATCCACAAGGAACTGAGACTTGCAGCACATAAATTGCACTTACTCTCAACATGCGCGTGTACGTCTCGTCTCATCCTGCGTGTAGGGTCCAAATGACGA